CATTTTCTGAGAGCCCGGTAACTGTCTACGTTATTTAGGATCATATGTCAAATCGTTTTCTTACACATTATGATATTAAAAGACATTGACGCAAACACGGATGTTTTTAAGCAAACCTCTTATAGGAGCGGAAAATGGGGTCTTGCGTTTATGAAAATTCGGTGGGATCATGCCTGCTAAATCTCACTGTTATCGAGAAAAAGGGAGCAGATTAAGCTTTAGAAGTTATATTTTGTAAGCTGGTGACTTTTACGCAATAAATTACAGTTATAAAGTTGTTTGATGGCATTTTTACTACCACAACAACTACTACTACTACTTATACCACCACCACCACCACCACCACCACCACCACCACCACCACCACCACCACCACCACCACCACCACCACCACAATGATTAGTTGGCACGAACAAATACATGTTGATTACCCGCGACATACTGCCACATTTCTGTGGCATGCCGTGCAACAACGGTGTCAGAACTATTCCTATCGCAGGGTGACATTGGGCGCATACCGAAATTGGCGGCCAAACATTACTCAGGCCACTCTGTGAGGTTTGGTAACAATAAAGCAGTGCCTAGACCTAAGCAAGATAGGCCAAGACGGTCCCTAAGTAAGCAACACGACGATTTCATTCGTTGAGCACCAAAAGTAGCACCATATTCTCCTTAAGAGTATTCACAAGGAACACCGTCAATGTTTTTCTTGCGCATAATTAACAAAAGGAGGGAAGAATTTAACATCCACTAGCGAAAACCCTCGACAAAGCCGTTTTGTGTGGGGAAATTACGAGAGAAAGTTTTTTGTTTGCTCAAGAAAGCGTTGATCACAGACTTTCATTTTGGAAGACCATTTACATTTACATTTCAATACCGTCCCGCGCCCTCTTCTCCTTTCCAAAACCTCCGCATGTGGCTTTCCAGGCTGGGTCGTCTCTTGGCTGAGCGATTATTTTACCTTCCGCACCCAATTTGTCCAATCTGGCAAGCGGAAATCTTCGACCCTTCCCAATGACTTCGGTGTTCTTCAAGGTTCCATTCTATCCCCTCACCTTTTCTCCCTCCACACTGATGATCTAAGGTCCCCTAATGACTGTCTTCTGGTCAGGTATGCTGACGATGTGGCTGTTGGACACCCTCTCAAAAGTCAGACACACCGGTCTCTAAAGGATGGCCTAAACCATGTCCTAGCGTGGTCGGAGGAAAATGGTCTCCTAATTAATAACCCGAAATCCGTTCAGTGTATTTTTCGACTGCGGCCCTCGCCTTACCCTGATTCCTCTGACATTCTTCCTAACGAAGTATCCTCTTTCAGGTATCTCGGCATTACTTTGTCCTCAAATCTTTCATTTTCCCTCCATATTGAGTCCCTATTTATTACAGTTCGTAAACTTCTTTACTACATACGTGGTTAACGTTCCTACCACACACCTCAACCCTTAGTCTGGCGATTCATTGATGCCGGCATTATTCCTCTTATCCTATACCGTTCTCCTGTCATTTTTCCTGTTTTGCTAAAAAAGGATCTTTTAATTTTGAAACGAGTCCTCCGCATGCTCTCTTCTGCTGCTGGTGTTTCTTATATTTTTTTTAGTTGACACCATCTTACAACGACACTTCAATGCGGTCAAGCAATTTGCTGGTCGAATTCTAGATGACGTTGCCCATCCCCTACAGTCCGATCTTATGTCTGCCAAGTCTTCCCGCCCGATGCGCCGCAACTTCTGACTTATATCCTGTCGCACATCGGCTTATCGAGCTTCCGTATTGCCATTCCTAGCGCGCTATCTTACGTGCGAAGAGGCAGAAATACAGAAGCCAAGACTTGAACTATCCCCATAATAATCGTCTCTTTGTGTTTAATTTTGACCCTTTAATAATCTGTTAACTTATTTACTGCCCATAGTGAGTGGAGCCAATTTTTTGCTGAAAAATTTGAACGTATGATTTCAAAATAAAGCGCATTCCTCTCTCTCTCAGGTGATACTGTCTTATTTTTAGACAAGGTTCAGAAGTCGGCCCAGGAGGTTGTATATGGGAAGAGCCTACCATGAGAACACACTGTGTCAATGGCACCTTTCAAGAATTGTGAGACGCCTGGCGGTTTGGATAGCCACTATATTCGGAGAGTGACTGGTCTTATGTACGACAGCGGTGACCATCAACAGCAAGGTATGCACTGACATCGTTAAGGATGCCCTTAGTTACAACGGCACTCCTGGCCACTGTAACGCTTCAGGGTAAACCCCCATTCACCGCCCAAAGGAGGCATGATCCAAATTTAGTTTGCACCACTACATTCTTAATTTCAAACCACAGTCTGACTTTCTGCCTGTCGTCTGTGAAACGTATTTACTCCCTCCAACATTTCTGGCTTCAGTCTTATCCGAAATCTCCCTGCACTAATAAAAAAAAAGCGGAAGCGAGTAGGGGAGCAAGTTTCAGTGCGGGAAGAACTGGGTTTTGCACTTTATAATTGCAAAGAAAAAACCACCATAGACAACGTATCGGTCTCTATGACCTCCCGACTTGCCGCAGTTTAAAAAAAGCATACTGGCAACCAGTAAAGTTCTAATACATCGCATTTGTTATCGTTTTCATCATACTGTCGTTACATCGGATTTTCTTCCTTTGTCGTCAGTTATATTAGTTCTTCAATAATGGATCTGACGTAAAGACGTTTCTTCGATTTTATGATTTTTGATAAAATCAGCTTACACCCGCATAAATTAGTTTCTGGAGGCCACAAAGTCTTCTTGGGGTAAAGGACAGAGCCTTAGTGAACGGTAAAATTGTGTCCTTTTCATATATCGCTATAATGAGGTAGCAGTTTTTAGCCACGAGTTATAGATTTTATAGAGGGTAGGGGTTGTGTTATGTATATGCGAAACTAATGATTCACGCCACTTAGTGGGGATGGATTACGGGAAATATCGACCATTTTCATGATTGCAACATTCTGCCTCCTAGTCCTTTTGCGCATTTTCGTCGACAAATGTACCCTCAAAATTTGCACGATGCTAGCCATCTCATCTGAATCACTTTACTCCGACAAATTCAAGAGGCTTATGTCGGCCTCGTCAACGGGCATATCGACCCTCCTCCGGCCTAAAAGGCTCTGCGCAGTTGCCTTCGCGGAAACAGAAGAAGACGGCCAAGCCTGGTTTATGTAACCGATTAGATACTCTCAGCGGGGAAACAAAAGTGCAACCGGGCTGAGCAACCTTCGCCGAGACTTTAGTGTCCTCCATCTAGTTGATGGCTTATTATGAAAACAGTTTTCACAGTCGCCAGCCCCCAGCCAAGGGGCTAAGGAGGTGAAACGAGGAGAAAAGTGATAAACGCAAGGTTAAGTAGCCTGTACTCCTGTTCACTTTATGCTTTAAAGCCCAAACGGTAATGATCGTACAAAGCCCTGCGAAACGTGAGGCGTAAAATAGATTTATTCCAGTGAGCCAATCTTCCTTCCTAATTGGATAAAGTGGGTGCCAGTGTTTGATTCTGCTTTGTCACAAAACTGCGCGCATGAGAGCACTCATAACGCGTAATTCTAACTACCAGGACCGATCTCAGCTCAAATATCATGTCAAAAGGCGCTCATGGGCACAAAGGATACAGATAGCGGAGACAAGTGCTATGAACCCACCGTTGTAATTTTGTGTGCAGTCGGCGCATATGAATGCAAATGCGACATATTTTGGGTATTTTAGACAAAAATAAAAGTTCGCTCATTCATTAGGGCGAGCTGCACAAATAATTGAAAGCAAGTTTGCGGAAAACATTGACTATTAGACGGAGTTGGATCGCACTGCCCCCTGCCTCCGCTGAAGTGCGCGTGAAGTGGTCAACAGTTTAGATATTACAGGGTCACCTGCAAACCATAAGAAAAAATGTGATTTTCCTTCCTCACTGACACGCGAGGCAAGCCTTTTCTTCTTTCGAAAGACATTTCTCTTGGGGTTGAAAAACCGTTATAATCAGGATGCTAATAATTGTGAAAAACGTTAGTCATCGTTAAAATGTCCTCAACAACGACATAAGTGCTAGCGTCAAGTTTGAGGAGGTGCGATGAATCCGAGGATATTCAGAACTTGATTTTGATCTGGCTGGCTAACAGTGCCTGCTGGTTCAGAAGTGACCGTTTCGAGTTCCCTTGTCTATATCGACTATCCTTTCTTTATTGTTTTGTACATACTGTTGCGTGTACTACTAAAAGTTATCTTTATAATTGCGTAATTTTAAAGAGCAGCGGACGGTTTCATAAATCTGGGGCATTTGATAAAATCATAATTTGCCTATCGGATGCTTTAATGGCAAAGCCTTTCTAAGATGGAGAGATCTCTTAATTGTGTGCCCCCTTTTAAACATAGACTATAGCTCACTGCGATGAGGGTTACTCGGGATTATAGGTACGTGCAAGTTCTGCAATATACCTCATTTTCTAGCTAAAAGAACGTTACCGAAGGACATTTTTTATTTGTTAGAGGACTCATAACAGGGTCGCACACCCCTCCCTCTGTTGCCAAAGCAATAAATAATTCACTGCAGGCATAGCCTAGGCAATGGAGTCCATTTGAAAGTCAGAAATCAAAAAACCTATATTTTGTGACAGACGAGTTTAGGCAGAATGGTATTACCGACAAAGACAAGGGAGACTGGAATGGCCATCTCTGGCTTGTTAACTGTCGTCAGCCAGTCATACCCAACCCTGAAGGGTGGAACACCCGAGCCTCGAACTCGCTACCTGTTGGTTTAGAAGTCCACGCCTCTACCCACCGAGCCACGATCCCGTTGTCCTGTCGGCTTGCGATCGGGAATAAACAATGGTAGCGGTGAATTCGAATATCGTGGATACGCATGTCGCCGACTAGGCTCATAGGGTTAGTGAATGTGCGTGAACGATGCAAACAATGAAGGCGAGTGCAGAACATGTATGTTCGGTCTCCTGGCACCGGTTCGCCAATCTCGGTGCGGCAGCTTTGCTAGTGATCAATGCGTTAGGTGAAGGTGCGGTCGCAATGAAAACAGGTTGCGATCAAGTCCATATTGCGGGTTGTGGGGTTGGTGATGGTGAGGATTGTGACTAACGGGTCGTCAGGAGTACTCTTACTGGTCACGGAAGTGAAATGGGTGGAAGTGGTTGCCGTCTTTGCAGGCAGTGCGTCAGGGCTAATGGATATGCTGGCGGTCGACGGCGTCATGGCATCAGGAGAGTGATTATCGTCTCGCTCTGCGTCAGGGATCCTTTCTTCCCATCTCAGCTTGAGTACTTTCTGGCGGCATCTACGGTGGAAGTGATTGAGTTTCCTCACCCTTTGCTCACAGACTATCCAGGTCTCCGCTCCATGCAGCAGGGTTGTCAAGATGGCAGCCTGACACATTTTGAGTTTAATGCTGAGATGGAGACCATGACGCCTGGAGCCCGCCAAAGGCCCGGCTAGCTTGGGAGAACCGGTGCGCAAATTCATTGTCGATTTTAGTTCTGTGTGAGGGTTTACTACCGAGATTGGCAAATTTGTCTAGGTGTTTGATTTGGACGCTGTTGACGGCGATGCGCGAGTCCAAAATCTTAACAGCACATCCTCACACATGTACACTGACATTTGATTATTATAGGTGACGAAAGGTGGCAAGTAAGACATCTGAGTAAATGTTCGGAGTTCTGACATGCTTTTCGTTTCACCAGGGGCTAATATGTGCACCCGGCAATTCGAGAAGCATAGTGCAAGAGAGCGCGTGAGATGGTCGGGGAGTGAGAATCTGGGGACCAATCGATAAAGGGACCCGTCAGACTCGGAGAGGAAAGCCTCAGCTGGTTGGTTAGATTCGTCCCAATTCAAGTACTTACTTCAATTGTTTTCCTGTGCGCATGTTGGAAAGCTTCAGAAAAGGTCAAAGCTAACAAACAAATCAATAGTTTTCAAAGGATACACACGTATTATTTTTATGCTATATGCTATTGGTGAATGTAATATACAACGAAGCCCGTGGACGTTCCAAGAAGTCAGCTTCTTAGTATCACCGCTAGTACCGCTTGACAAATTTAACCATTGACCAATGTTTATCCTGCTCAAACAGTGTTTTGTCTACTTTGTATTCAGCTCTTAGTATTTTAGTAATGCGAACGACAGACTTTACAGTCTTTTTAGAAGTATATTCGCTCCCTCAGGAGGATGGAGCACACACTCCAGACTTCATACTTTTTCCTGAGAAAATGAATTTTTCTTTTGCTGAGAACTCCATCCTGAGCGCAGCTTACTGCCGAACAAACATTTCGATTTGCTCAAAATAACTAGAAAACAATTCCGCCAGAGGTGAAGGAGACCGGAGTATCGCTATCAGACTACCACTCAACCAAACTGAAACCACATATATTAGGAAGCTGATATTTGCAGCGTTTAGACTATAGTCTCGGGTTACGCAGACGTTGCACTAAGGGACACGAATGAGCTCTGATGAATGGAGACATATTGCGTCAAAATATTTTAACCAGATTAAGTTATCTGAATTGTTTAAAGACACCGGGACACGTACTGACCTGTAGTGTTAGGTCGCTTAATTATGTTGGGCAGTTCTGACAGTTAACGTTAGATTTTTCCTTGGCACTTTCGTAGCTTACAAGCGAGTGGTGTGAGGGGGTGACTAGACGGACAAACGTTCATCGGTATCAAATCAACGAGGATCTGAGGTAGTTGTAAATATTCGTGCCCCCTCCCACCACCATCGCCAACACCACCACCACCACCACCACCACCACCACCACCACCACCACCACCACCACCACCACCACCACCACCACCACCACCACCACCACAGCCCCGACGCAACTGCCGTCATCATCATTGACGACGACGACGTCTACGACGACGACAACAACAACATCGTCGTCACCATCAAGCGTGCGCTGCATAATTAAATCGGACGCAATGATGCGTGGGCCGTCATTGTTTTGTGGACCTTCAATGCTGACTGAATAGCATGCTCCCAAGTCGCTACTGACCATGGTGACTACCAGACTTAAGCGAAGTTTAGATCGGCACTTTGTTTTCTGTCCTCTCCAAGACACACGCCACGCTCTCCGGCTTGTCCCAATTAGGCGGAATCGTGGTTCTAATTTGCGAACTGCATTCGAGGCATAAATGCCGCCTGCATTTGTCTTTTAACATTTACCTTGAATAAACCACCCTTCCGAATAACTGACCTATGCCCTATGTACTTTCATGTGGAAGTGAACTTTATCCATGTGCTTTGATTTGAAGCGACGGGATGAAGACGACTCGTCTTGCCCTGGGCTTCAGCATCTAAGCCTCGCATGCGGTCGCATAGCCACAAGTGATCCCTAATCAGGACAAACTATCAACAAGGACAAGGGACATTCAGTTGGACACTTCTGTTTTATTTGCCCCTGTCAGTTAACAATATTCTCTTTGTCCAAAATGACTACTTAACATACTTAACCACATGCAACAGGTGAAAGAGGGGCCGCCTGCCGCCTTATTGATCACGAAAAGTGTTGGAGGGTTGCTCGTTTATTAGGGTTTCGAATCTCGGGTGTGTCGTTTCGGACTGGGGTTGTTCTTTGGTGGTATTGGGAGAGGCTTTGTAAAAATTCCTTCTTTTAATTACCCAACTGGCAGACGGAAAGTTGATAACGGTCAGTAATTGAGAAACTCATCTCCGACATCATAAAGAGACTGGTATCTAAGTGCTGCAATGATATCCGTGTAAAGACTGAAGAAGGTACGTTTTCAATCAAGCCTGTTCAGTAATATAAATTAGGACAAAACAGTGACATTTAAAGCAGCCAGTGAATGGTAGTTATGGGGAGAGGGTTGAGAGCGTTCAGACATGTCGGTGCAGTCAGGCAATTTGGGAGGGGAGGTAGGGGGGGGAGGTAAGGGGAGGAGTCTGGCGGTGAACTTTTCCAGTTTCGTTTTTGAAGCACTCCGTTTCACCTGGAGACCCAAATCGACTTCATGCGAGACACTGTGTGAGAAAATGACATTTCCAAGAAGTTCTTCCTTAAATATGCTGAAGAACGTCCCTGAAAACAGACGTGCTAACAACCGAAAAGAAGAAACTATTTCTTATACTGGCATTTCGAAGGAATCCGACAACCGGACTTCTATAACTTCGCTGAAACTCTGCTATCACGCGCACTTACTCAGCTGCCAAGTTAAGGCTAATTCCCGCAAGCACTTCGATTCTTCGTCCTGAAATCGAGGACAGGCTGTCTTTTCAGACATCTTCAATGTGCATCTACACCTTCACTTGCTCTTGTGGGGGAGGTCATAGCGGTCGAATAACCAGGCGCCTATCCAACCGGATGCGAGAACTTCATCTTGTGTGATCAAATTAAAGCATATAAAAGTCTTTATATAACGCAAATTCTTCCAACTTAGTTGACAGCGGCCACCGAGCAGACGTTAACCAAGCATTCGGGGTGATTTGTGAAGTGCCGACTAGACACTCCAAGTTCCTGCGTCAGCGCATACTTGCGCCGGTAGAGGCAATGGCCATACGATTTTCCTACACAGATTTGTGCTCATAGAAGGCGCTCATACAAGCCCTCAAACTACCATGGGCCAAGAATTGGCCAGCATGTTCGTTTCCGCATCCTTCCACATCACTCTACAGTTGCAAAAATTAAGCATAGTTCATTCTCCGACACCTTTCGCTTCTCCTACCCCTCACCATCTTCCCCAAGTCCCTCACGGCACTGGCATGTCTGGACGCCCACAACCCTCTATCCCTTAACTACTCCTTATTGGCTCTCTTATCTTTCATCACTTTGTCGGGATGCCTGTACAAAAACCGGATCTGTGCATATGTGGAGGCCTTTCGAAGGGCGAAGGTTTCCCAACGCTGGGCCGATCGGAGCGCATCACGCCCGGCTATATTGCCAATAGGAGCGAAGAGACGAGTCCCAGACAGCAGTCGTGAAGAGGGAGACACGCTCGTTTTCACTGGGACAAGGGCTTATTCGCCTGACGTTTCGGATTTCTGCTCGAACCCATCATCAGGGACAGTAGCAGATGTGGTTACTATTGTCTCTGATGGTGGGTTCGAGCAGGAATCCGAAACGTCAGGCGAATGAAGCCCTTGTCCCTGCTATCCTGTCTCCTTCGCTTTCATTTCTTTGCACAATTTATATTACTGTACAGGCCTAAAGATGACTAATAGAAAACGTGCGTTTGCCAAACTTGACTTTTTAAATCGGAATTCTTCATTCAAGCTGATGAAATATGCGACGTTACTGGGGGAAAACAATTATTCATCTATGTCCGGCTCGCTCCCCGCAACAAAATAACTACTGGTTTTTTTGCTTTAAGGACACACAAGAGAACAAGACGCCTTCTTAAAAAATGTCTGCGAATTAGAAAATGCAGATATTTCATGAGAATATTATCCTGGCTCTTGTGCAAATAGAGCTTCTACTGTAACACGGCAAGAGGTTCGCCGTCGTTGATTAAACCAAAAATTCACATGTTTAGTAACAAACCACTGTATCATACGCATCAAGACATGGGCCCGTGAAGCCAAATATGATTTTGATACCAGATCTGGTTGCGTGTGTTATATCTTGCGGCAATTTTAATCCAGACTCGGGACCAGGGTATGAGTTTAAAATATTGCTAGAGCACAAAGACTCACCATGTGAATGAGTGTAATTGGTGCTCAGTACTGACATGTCTGTCCGGTATATTTAATTGAGGCTTGTATACAGGGTCACAATTACAGTATTTCGGCACTTGCTGACAGACTGATTGCACTCGAAAAGCTCCATACCTGGCCTAGAATAACAATGCACAAAAACTCGGATCAGCCCTTTCTATCAAGAATGCGGGAAAAAGCTGATAATATTGAAGATCCCGCAATACATTCCAACTTTTAAAGTCCGGTCTTGATCCAGCGGGAGGGAGCGACGATTCCTTGAGACCCAACCGAGAGCTTGCTACTCAATTTGAATAAATTAAGCAGACTAGTTGAGCTCTAGAACCCGCGCAGGAGTCTATCGTCAGAGATAGTGGCAATAACAAAACAAAAGAATATTAAAGGGCGTGCTAGCCAATCTTCAGAGCATGACCGCAAGACTAGAGGTGACTGCGCAGGGCTCCGTTCGCTGGCGTCGGATCGATAAATTGATTGACCGAGTTCTCATCCGAGGCTCAGTCTTCGATCAGTTCCCGGACTGTTTCAACTCTGACGTGTGCGATTACCTTGGTGGCTGCAAAGCTAAACGCATTACGCATTTTGTAGGCTGGCGCAGCTTCATAGCACATCCAGCTTATGTATTCGCGATCTGAGCATGCGTCCAGCCTGACCTGTGGTGTTACAAGGTGAGTTCGGGCGTGGGGCCGATATACTACCCCAGACTTCTCTTCAGGATCTAACCAGTCTTTAATCTTCATGACCTTCTTGCGCGGGAATGAATCTGGGACTGGGATTGGTACCCAGTCAATCGATT